CTGTTGAAGGCTATAGAGGGGAGTGGGGCTGATGGGGACCTGTGGCTTTGTGGCTGTGTGTGTGTGTGCGTCTGTTTTTGTTCCATGCATCTGTCTGAGCGCAACCCCGGCGTTTCCATTCGCAATCATCGAGCGCTCGGAGCACCTGAAAAGGGCGACATTTGCATCAGAAAGACCAAGATTACAACAACAACAAAGAGGGGGCCTCGCGTGTTCGCGCGTGTGTTTATCTGCGTGTGTGTGTGTATGTGTCGTCTGTGCGTGTGTGTGTGTGTCGTCTGTGCGTGTGCCTGCCTCGAAGTTCCATCTGGCCTGGCGAAGGCGCCCCGTGGTGACCGTCACTTGCGTGGCGAACGGCCGGTGTTGGTGGTGTTGGTGGTGTTGGCGGTGTTGGTGGTGTTGGCGGTGTTGGCGGTGTTGGTGGTGTTGGCGGTGTTGGTGGTGTTGGCGGTGTTGGCGGTGTTGGTGGTGTTGGCGGTGTTGGTGGTGTTGGTGGTGTTGGCGGTGTTGGTGGTGTTGGCGGTGTTGGTGGTGTTGGCGGTGTTGGTGGTGTTAGTGGCGTTGGCGGTGTTGATGGTGTTGGGTGTCTGCCGTGAAATCTGCGCACTTGTCTCCTAGGTCGACTCAGACTCAAATGAGTTATCGGTGATTTGTGTCTAAAACATCACTACTGGCCTTCATAGGTGCTCGCTCACAGCACTTGCCCCAATAGCCTGTTCAGGCTATACGGGAAATCTTTGTCTGTTTTTTTCCGAGCCTCTCCTAGATAGACTCAGCCTCAAATGAGTACCCGGTAAGGTGTGTATAAAATATCACCACTGGGGAGACAAAAGCGGCCGGGCGTGGTGCTGGCCAACCACACCCGCGCATATGAAGGCCGTGCCGTCCTTCATAAGCGCTCGCTAACTACCGCATCATTATGACGCTCTCATAGTTGAAGGGTGACACAATCTCGCCAGACACTTCGCCTCCTTCCCATTTTGGACGTCTGTGAAAAAGAGCTTCATAGCCCATCGGATTCCTCCACCATAAATAAAGATTCTAATATTTGTCTGTTGCACCTAAGATGTTTACTCCTTCTATCAACCACCACCACCATCACCAACATGGCCTTCGGGAAATGCATAATTTCATCAGCATTGCAGAAGTGATGGAGAGATGCGAATGAGGAGGGAGATGGAGAGAGAGAGAGAGACAGAGGAGGGAGATCGGAGGGAGATGGTGACATGGGAAGATAGGGGAGAGACGTAGAGAGAAGGGTGTAGCAATGGACAGGAGAGTGGAAGGAAGTAAAGAAGTAAGGAAGTACATCGGGGAGAGTGATGGAGCTCGAGGGAGATGGGAGGTGGGGAGAGGGGGAACGATGAGGAGAGCTAAAGATGAAAGGAGACGGTGGGTGGTGTCAAAGAGAGTGATTGGGAGAACGAGGATGAACGATAGACGGATGGTTTGCAGAGAAAGAGAGAGAGACGGAGGGAGCGTAAGAGAGAGAGTGACATGCGAAAGTGATGGGGCGTGAGAGATCGAGAGAAAGGTAAATGGAGAGTGAACGTTTGAGAGAGAGAGAGAGTTAAATATGGAGACAGTGGGAGACGGAGAGAGAGAGAAATATGGAGAGTGTCGGTGACGGGGAGAATGAAAGATGCGGAGAGAAAGAGACGTGATTGAGAGATGGGAATAAGAAGAGTGATGAGGAGGAATCGATGCCGAGAAAGAGAGACCGAGACTGTTTATATGTGTGTGTGTGTCAAGAGAGAGAGACACACACACGCGGGGAGAGGGAGAGATACTCACACGGAGAATCACTCTGAAAGATAGAGACACAAACACAGTGACACAGAAAAAAAGAGAGATAAGGAGACTTTTGACTTTTAAACAACTTTTATTGCCACCAGCAGCAACAGCACTGGAGGCGATTTCGATATGAAATACACAAAGGCACCAGCAACACAAATGAAAATAAACGTTACAAATCCACGCGCTGTGACGCTAAAAAGCACCGCGCACAACATGAAAGAAAAGTCACGTGGTGGTTGTGGTGGTCATTCGCGCACGCCACGTTGACGAGCGAGCGCTTCAGAAGGTGAACACGTGGGGGGTGCCGTCCACGCTGATACAGAGAGGGGCTTGTCCGGCTCCACAGCGTTCGAAGAAGACGCGCTGCACGTCACGACACGTGTGTTGTACGTGGCGTGCTCCAGCCAGAGCCGCGCATTGAGCAGGCCCCTCAACACTGGAAGCAGCACAGAGCAGCCGTCAGTGTCACCTTGCAGCGTCTTTTTCCTCGTTCTGTACACCGCCATCTTCGCCTGAGCACAGGCGAAGTTGGCGAAGTCATGGCGTTTGTTAGCCAGGTAAGGCACCACCCCATATACGAAGCTGCTGTTGTAGAAGGGCACCCCCAGTTTCCTGAAGATGTCCCCCAAAAGGCGGAACATTGGTTTGAGCCGCTGGCATTGTAAGTACCGGTGGGGCAGATCCTCCCTGGCACCGCAGGAAATGCACCAAGTCTGTTACCCCTGGCGAGATTCGGCTGAGCCACACGGCCGATGGCAACGTGCAGTGTGCCAACCTCCACTGGAGGTCACCGCAGTGTTTGGCTACGAGAGACTTGTACATTTGTTTCCACTGAGGGGCGGTTGCAATGAAGGGAGAGAAATGGTCTCTCCATTTTGTGTCCGGTAGGTCGGCCAGGTCCCGGGAATGCAGCGCCTTGACACAGCCACGTGTAGAGCGCTGTGTTTGGGGCACTCTTCAGGGGCACGTTCCCGCAGCCTCGGAGCTTCAGCAGCTTGCCGGAGTCGCCGTGGCCGGGGGGCTGCACGCAGGAGAAGCGCACCTCCGGGAAAGAGCAGGAGGGGGGTGGAGGGCCGCCACCATCCCCCGGTGCCTCCAGCTTCAGGCTCAGCTCCTTCATGGCACGGAGCGACGTCCCGCAGCAGCTTCTCCCCAGCGAGCGTGGAGTGGAGCCCTGCGGTGTTGGCGATCTCAGCTGCAGCCTTCCACTTGGGCTGGTGGGCGTGCACGAGGTGGAAGACTGTCCGCAGCCCTGCTGATGTGAGGCGTTGAGCCAGGGTCCTCTCTCCTATGATTCCCTGGAAAAGGCCGTTGCAGAACAAGGGCTCGTTGAAGAACTGCGTGAGGTCGTAGGGTGCGCGCGTTCTGCTCCACTCGAAGCTCCGCCACGCGTCCAAGAGGCTCCGGTGATAACCTGGCAGCCTCGTGTAGTCGACCAGGCTCAGGTCCATCAGGAAGAGCTCCTGTCTGTACCCCAGGCACCCCCCTGCATTCCTCAGCAGGGCGAGGGCCGGCGACTTCCAGGGTAGCTCCTCCCGGTCGTACAGCGGCCGCCTGACCGCCATAAGCCTGAAACTCGTGACCCTGGCGGCGACATCCACCAGACCCTGGCCGCCCTCGGCCACCGGCAGGCAGAGAACGCCCGGCCTGAGCCGGTGCTTCCCATGCCACACGAAGCGCGCGAGTGAGCGGTCGACTCTGGTGAGTAGCCAAGCAGGAGGCGGGAGGGCCTTGGTCTTGCGCCACAGCACGGATGCAGCCAGGGCGTTAGCGACGAGCACTCGGCCCCTGAATGACATCTGCGGAGCGAGGCGTGCCCATGTCAGTAATTTAGCCTCGATTGTGTCTGCCAGCTCGGTCCAGTTGTTCAGAGCGACGTCACGTGGTTTCCCCAGGTAAATCCCCAGGCACTTGACTCCGTCGTCCTGCCAACTGACTCCTCCTGGGAGGAGCACAGAGCGAACGCCGCCTCGCGACCCCAAACACAGAGGGGGCCCTCTCGTACACTGCAACCGCCTGGCAGAGCACGGAGGCGTCATGCGCGTCGTTGAGGACGACGCATATGTCGTCTGATAGGGAGAGGATGACACGGAGAGAGACCCACAGAGAGACACGCACAGAGGGAGGGAGGGCGTGGAGAAAGGGAGACTGGTAAAATAAAGGAGAATCATACATTGAGAGAGACACACATACAGTGAGTCCCACTGAGAATCAGAGAGACAGAGTGGCAGAGAGAGAGAGATCGTCGTGCACAGGGAGCCGTGTAACTGATGAGAGCGTCTGTCTCTCTCTGTCTGTCTCTCTCTCTGTCTCTCTCTCTGTCTGTCTCTCTCTCTGTCTCTCTGTCTCTCTCTCTCTGTCTCTCTCTCTCTGTCTCTCTCTGTCTCTCTCTGTCTGTCTCTCTCTGTCTCTCTCTCTGTCTCTCTCTCTGTCTCTCTCTCTCTCTGTCTCTCTCTGTCTCTCTCTCTCTCTCTGTCTCTCTCTCTCTCTCTCTCTGTCTCTCTCTCTCTGTCTCTCTCTCTCTGTCTCTCTCTCTCTGTCTCTCTCTCTCTGTCTCTCTCTGTCTCTCTCTGTCTCTCTCTGTCTCTGTCTCTCTCTCTCTCTGTCTCTCTCTCTCTCTGTCTCTCTCTCTCTCTGTCTCTCTCTCTCTCTGTCTCTCTCTCTCTCTGTCTCTCTCTCTCTCTGTCTCTCTCTCTCTCTGTCTCTCTCTCTCTGTCTCTCTCTCTCTGTCTCTCTCTCTCTGTCTCTCTCTCTCTGTCTCTCTCTCTCTCTGTCTCTCTCTCTCTCTGTCTCTCTCTCTGTCTCTCTCTCTCTGTCTCTCTCTCTCTCTGTCTCTCTCTCTCTCTGTCTCTCTCTCTCTCTGTCTCTCTCTCTCTCTGTCTCTCTCTCTCTCTGTCTCTCTCTCTCTCTCTGTCTCTCTCTCTCTGTCTCTCTCTCTCTGTCTCTCTCTCTGTCTCTCTCTCTCTGTCTCTCTCTCTCTGTCTCTCTCTCTCTGTCTCTCTCTCTCTGTCTCTCTCTCTCTGTCTCTCTCTCTGTCTCTCTCTCTCTGTCTCTCTCTCTCTGTCTCTCTCTCTCTGTCTCTCTCTCTCTGTCTCTCTCTCTCTGTCTCTCTCTCTCTGTCTCTCTCTCTCTGTCTCTCTCTCTCTCTCTCTCTCTCTCTGTCTCTCTCTCTGTCTCTCTCTCTGTCTCTCTCTCTGTCTCTCTCTCTGTCTCTCTCTCTGTCTCTCTCTCTGTCTCTCTCTCTGCCTCTCTGTCTCTGTCTCTCTCTCAGCGCGCTGGGAGAGGCCACATCCAGGTGGGGCTCCGCGCTCTCACCTGGAACAATGGAGGCCTGATTTTTCACCGTTTCAGGCCGGTCCCGAGAGAGAGTTTCGAAGAAGAACAAAACAGACCAAGCTCCCCTCCCTTTCTTCACGGTTCAGTTTATTGTCCCCACTTTATTTGGTTTATTTTTTTATCTCCTAGTCCTTTATTTTTTTTCCTTTACTCACTGGTCGCTCGAGCGAGAATACGCCTCGATCAACCCGTGAGTTTTACGCCGGGTTACAACGACGACGGCAGCAGCAGCAGCAGCACCGACAAGGACAACGAGAACACGCGCGTAGGTGTGCTGTAGCCGGCTGCCATCATGGCAACACACACGAAGCTGGAGAGCCTCACGCGGCAGCACGCGATCGTCGCGTTCCCTCCATCGGAGGTGACCGTCGAGGCCGTCGCGACCGCGGTGGCCGAGCACGTGGGCTGCGCCGCCGTCCTCTCGCCGCCCAGCGATGAAAACCGCGGAGTCACCGTGTGTACGTGGCGGAGGAGGAGATGGTGGCGCGCCTGGTGGAAGCGGGGCTGAGCGTCGGGGACGGCCTGTTCCTGACGTGCACCCCGCTCGCGACGCCCGCAGTCCGGGTGCTGATTTCGGGCGCGCCACCGTTCCTGCCGAACGCGGACATACAGCGTGAGTTGATGAGGTTCGGCACGGCGGTGTCGAAGATTACCATGCTTCCCTTACGCACGACGAACCCGAGGATGGCGCACGTGATGACGCTGCAGCGCCATACTTTTATGATTCTTAAGGGCGGCGAAACCGAGTTGAATGTAGCCCTTGAGTATCCGATACAGGGGCACGTCTACACGGTTTACGCGTCCTCAGCCTTGCCGCGGTGCTTCGGGTGTGGTGGAACCGGCCACACCTGGAGAAACTGCCCCAACAAGAAAAGCGGGAACGCCGCTCCTGCCGTGCCACCCGCACCGGCGCGTGAGGAGCAGCGGCAGCAACAGCAACCGGTGCAGCAACAGCAGCGGCAGCAGGAGCAGCCGCGACAGCAGCAACAGCGGCACCAGCAGCAACAGGAGCAGCAGCAGCAGTACCAGGAGCAGCAACAGGAGCAGCTGCAGTGGCAGCAGCGACAGCAGCAGACAACCCGCGTCGACCCGCCGGACCCGGCGTCCGGCTGCGGCTTGCCGGCCCCTGGGGACGACGCCGTTGGCTCTACCGAGGTCCGGAGAAAAAAAAACGCAAGGCCAAGGACGACTCTGCAGCGGGGGATCGCACCGGCGCTCCCTCGAAGCGGACGGCGGGCGCCGGCAGAGCTGCGGCAGCGGTGAGCGTCGACGCCGAGGCGGAGCCGCAGGAGGAGGAGATGGACCTCGGCGGCGGCTGCCTCGACTCGTCGGACGACGACGAGGGTCCGGAACAATCGCCGGATCCGGACCAGGCTCCAGCCGCACCAACGATGGAGGGAGGGTGCCCGGTGCTGACACACCCCCCCCCCCCCCCGTCGCGCGACGAGGCAACAACAACGACGACGACGACGGCGGTGATGACGACCGCGGGGCGGGCGGATGAGAGCCGCCCTGGATCGAGCGACACCCCAGCCCCGAGTGGGTTGGCAGGGGAGACGGAGACCAAGGGCTGTGCCACGGACGTGGTCGTCGACGACGACGACGACGAAGACGGGTACGTGGTCGACGACGGCGACGGCGGTCGCAGCTGCGCCAGCGACTGGAGTTACGCGTCGGTCAAGCAGGGGAAGGAGGTCCCTGCGGGGAAGATCCTCGCCTTCCTCCGGGAAAACTTTGGGAAGAGGGTGAAACCCCTGCAAACGTTCCCCGACGTCCCGGCCTTCCTGGCGACGGCGAATAAGATCAGCCGGAACCCAGATGCGTTCGGGTGCATCTCAGAAGAGCGCCACCGCTGATGGTCGCAGGCCTCCACCCCCCCCCCACCCCTCGCCGAGCAGCGTAGCCCGTACTGGCGGTTAAATATACAGCTTTTGGAAAATAGTGAATTCCAGGCGGCCTTTAGGGCCTTCTGGAAGATATGGGTGAAGAGGAAGGACCGTTTTACCTCCCTCCAGCAGTGGTGGGACAACGCCAAGGCCCAAATAGGGGTGTTGTGTCGGAGATTTTTGAGCCAGCACGCCGCGGCCAGGCGGGAGGAGGAGGAGAGGCTGCGGGCCCAGGTGCTGGTGGTGGAGGCGGAGCTGGGCCACCACCAGACCGCCGCGGGCCACCGTGAGCTCCGCGAACAGCAACAGCTGCTGCGAGCCGTTTCCGACCGGGACGCCTACAGGGGCTTCGTCGAACGGAAGATGCACCTCCTACACCACCTGGATGCACCGACGAGACTCTTTTTCAGGCAGAGGACCAAGCCGGTCACGAGGAATGCAATTGTGATGCCGCCGCCACGGAGCCGATCGGCGGGCGGCCCACCTGCGATCTCGCCGCGGCGAGGCCGACATTGCTCCCACCCCACCACCTCCCCACCCCCCCCCCCCCCCCACCGGAACACACAAGCACGCACTCCCCCCCCACCATTAGAGCGCGTGGGGAGACACCCTGGCCGACAGGTTTTCACCCAGAAGCCCTCGTAAAGGGATAATCTTCACGGTTTCCTGCAGCCAGGGAATTGGACGGTCTCCCCCGACGCTAACACCCACCGCGGCGCCGTGACTTTGGTTGTAATTACATGGTCACGACGGGGCTGCCGAGCCACCGCGGGTAGACAGCACACACAACACACACGGGTCAGCAGGCAGGTAGGAGGGCAGAGCCACGAGCGGCGGGAAAGCAGGGTCGCCCTCTGGCTGGAGGGTCGCTGAGCAGGTAAATTTAGATGCGGACGTCGCTGAAAGCAACGGCCCGGGGGATGCTGGGGTACAGATGGGCCTACCGATTGGCGGGTGATCCCAGCGAGCTGATTGGCCCGCGAGTCGGCTCCAGGTAGCCCTTTGATGTAGAAAGAATAAAGCGGGTCAGGGCGAAGGAAAAAGGTTCTCTGGCTACTCGAGTCAACCCCAGGCCCGTCAACTCCCGAGTCCAGCCGCGCGAACGTCCGTGGGACGTATCGACGCGCCGCGAGGACCAGACAGCAGTGACGACGAACCGTGAGTAAGAGAGAGAGAGAGGGAGTTGGACTTAGCTTAAGAGCAAAACCGGAGAGGGTAAAGGGGAGAAGGACAGGTAGAGTGTAGTGCCGACTATCGAGAGATAGATCGGTCCTGCCCCGCTGATCCCGACTGACTCGGTTAAATAAGGGCTCGCCGACGCGGTGGAATAAATCGTCGGCGGTTACATAACGGACTGGTGTGGTTTTTGTGGAAGCGTGGGTGCGCTTGCTGTCGCGGTGGTCGTTACATAACAGACTGGTGTGGTGGTTTTTGCGAGGGTGTGGAAAGAGAGTGGAAGCGTGGGTTCGCTTGCTGTTCTCGGTGGTCGCCGCGTGTGTGGAGCGGCGCCGCGTGGATTGTGTGCGCTACGAACCGTCGGCTGCGGACTCCTGCGTTGCGAGCGGATACCCGTCTCGCACGCATGCCCATCGCATAGCCCTTTAAACCCGTTTAAACCAACCCCCCCAAGCGTCGGAGTGAGCACGAACGACGTCGCTTACCCTCCGACCTTTGACCCCCTGTTACCCGCGTGTGATTGGTGCGTGGGACTGCGCGGGCGGGGAGCGTCGCGTTTGGGTGCCGGCGAAGCGCTAGCGGGTCCCAGGGAGGTCGAGGGTGATGCCCCACCGGCAGGAGACCCGGACTCGGGGGGGGACGGCACAGGGGGGGGAACAGGAGCGCGACGACCTTTCCCCGCCAGGGGAGGAGTGCGGCGGCGGCAGCTCCCACACTAGTGGAGAGTCTGGGAGCGTCGGTACTTCGCGGACAGGGTCGCAGGCAGGGGAGATCCCGGGGGCAGGCGACCCTAACAATATGGTGTCAGAAGCGGTACGAACCCCCGCGTTACCCCACGCGAAAATAAGGCATATATTCACTGGCCGGGGTACACCTTCGTGGAGAGCATTTGCCCGCAACGTCCTAGGGGCTAAGGAAATTAATGGGTGGACGGACGCGCAGACGCTACGTCAACTTAATATGAATCTGGATGGGCGGGCAGCCGATTTTGTGGAAGCCCTACCCGCAAGCGCGCAGACACAGCTAGAGGAGCTGATGCGCCGACTTGATCTGCGCTTCGGTACGCGCGATGAGGAGGAGGCAAAAGCGGCCTTAGAGGCACGCCGTCGCCAACCCGGCGAGGACCTGCGCGATTATGCCGAGGATGTGCGTGAGCTAACAAAGATCGCACGCCCGAGGCACACCACGGAAGCGATTGAGGAGCTGGCCACAGAGAAAATCCAGCGATACTTAATGCGCACGGCGTGGTGGCAGCCAGACGTGAACTGTACGCGCCTCTCCTTTGATGCCCTTGTCGAGCGCGCGCGCAAATGTGAAAGAATTTCTAGCGAACGCGCACAGCTCCGAGGACTGGGACGGGAGCGCACCATCGCAAGTCTGTCCACCGAGGAGGAAGAGGAGGAACAGGAGCTCACCAGGATGGTAGGGGGTCAGGAAAGGGGGCCTCCGGTATCCCGCGAGACCACCCCGGGATGGGTAGCGGGGATACAGGCGGGCATCGGGGGGATCGACAACAACGTAACCCAAGTACGGGCACATATGACTACGCTGCAGACTACGGTAGAGACGATTCAGACCGAGTTGGGAGGGCTAGCTGGGAGGGTAGCCCGACTAGAAGCAGAGTCTGGGCAGCGGCGCACGGGGGGGAGAGGGAGCGGGCAGGGTGCCCACTATGGAGCCTGCCACCCCCCCCCCGGGCGTGTTATATGTGCGGCCGTCAGGGGCATCTCATGAGAGACTGCCCACAGATCGCCCGCGCTAGATATACCGAAGGGTTAAACGCCAACGCCCCCTAGAGAGTGGACCACCTAGGGGTGCAATCACCGAGGTCCCGAAACAAAACGACGATAATAATAATGGTAAGCAAGTGACACCCACACAGGTCACGGCCACAACACCCAAGGACGCGGTGAGGACGGGCGACTGGCTACGGGAGCTGGTGGCAGGAATCACGGGGGCCACGTCACTGGTGGAAGGACAGGTGAACGGGCAGCGCACCCGGATCCTACTGGACACGGGGGCCGTGGCCTCACTCGTGAGCGCCGCGCACTGCAGCGTGCTCGGGGTTGACGTGAGCCGCCTGCCGGCCCCGGATTGCGCGCTGCACACAGCGAGCGGAGCCGGGATGGGGTTGCTGGGAAGGATCTCCCTCGAGGTCCGTCTCGGAAACCAGGTGTGCACTCAGGAGTTCTACGTCTCGAGTGTGCTGTGCCACGAGTGTATCGCAGGTACCGACCTCCTGGAAAAGCTGGGGCTCAACGTGCAGCCCCGACAGCGGTGCGCCACCGTGGAAGGCAGCGGGGAACGGATTCCATTCCTGGGACGGGAGCCGAATCGCCCCCGCTTCACACCTGTGGCCGCTACCCTGACGACGGCCGTCACCATCGGGCCGCTCGCCGAGATGCTGGTACCTGTGGCGACACCCTCCACCGACCCCGCGCACCGACCATCGGGGGAGGTAATGCTAACTCCTCACCCGGAGTTGGCAAAACGATACGGGGTTGTGGGGTCAGCCACGTTGGTAAACGCCGATGGGGGCCGATTGTTCATGCGTGTGTTTAACCCCCACGGCACCCCAGCAATACTACGACGGCGCACCACAGTAGCCACCGTGCACCCCCTACACGCGCGCCACTCCAGCGACTCGGTATTCGCACTCTGGGCGGAGGACCCCGGTCGCCCCGAGGACCAACAAGACCTGGCCTGGCGAGTCGGCCCGACTCCCCACGCCGAGGTCGTCCCCCTTCTTGACGCGGTACACGAACCTTGGGCAGAGTTACCCAAGGGGGAGGCCGATCAGCTACGCGGGTTACTGCGGGAGTACGCCGACGTGTTCAGCGAACACGATTCAGACGTGGGTCGCACAGATCTCGTTAAGCACCAAATCGACACCGGGGCCGCCCGACCCATAAAACTCCCCGCGTACCGCGTGGGCGCACCCGAACGCGCTCAGATCAAAGAGGCGGTCAGGGACATGCTCCGCGATAACATAATTTAGCCCTCGGCGAGCCCCTGGTCTGCCCCGGTGGTGCTAGTAACAAAAAAGGACGGGTCAACCCGGTTTTGCGTCGATTACCGCAAACTAAACGCAGTCACCCTCGGCGACTGCGTTCCCCATACCGCGCATCGACGACACCTTTGACAGCCTCGCCGGAGCGCGGTATTTTTCCACCCTCGATCTCGCGTCCGGGTACTGGCAGGTGGAGATGACGGAGGAGGATCGGCCAAAAACCGCATTCACCACCCCGATGGGGCTATTCGAGTTTCGAGTACTCCCGTTCGGGCTCACCAACGCGCCCGCGACGTTCCAGCGGCTGATGGAGTTGGTGATGCGGGGCTTGCAGTGGGAGCAATGCCTGATTTACCTGGATGATGTGATCGTGTTCAGTAGATCTCTGTCTGAGCACTGGTCCAGGTTACGGGAGGTGTTCCAGCGACTGCGAGCGGCTCATCTCAAGCTCAAGCCGCGTAAGTGTTACATCGCACAGCGCGAGGTGGGGTACCTCGGACATCGCGTCAGCGAGGCGGGGGTGCGCACCGATCCGGACAAGGTACGCGCCGTAGTGGATTGGCCACAGCCAAGAAACCTGTCGGAGATAAGGTCATTCTTGGGGCTCGCCACCTATTACCGTCGATTTGTAAAGGGATTCAGCGAGATTGCACGCCCCCTCACCCAACTCACTTCCCCCAAGAACCCCTATCAGTGGACGGAGGCCTGCCAGACGGCCTTCACCACCCTCAAAGACCACCTCACACACACCCCCACACTGGC